CTTGTCTTACCTTCATGAAGTTGATGTCCTCAGTTTTGTCAAACATGACCTGGACAGAGCTGAGGAGCTTCTTGGCCTCCTGCATGCGTTCATTGAGGTGCAGAACCTGGGCCGCGTTCTCGTTGCAGAACTTGGCCTGGGCCTTGTCCAGGATCTCCATGGTCTTCCGCAAGTCCTCATCCAAGATCTGGTGCATCTTCTCGTACTGCAGGCGCACCTCATCCTTCAGCTGGCTCACCTTCTCCTGGGGAGAGGAGCAGGGTCAGGCCCTCTGTCCCCTTCGACCTCTTCCATGATGTCCCAGGTTCTTTCTCAGAATGCAACCTGAAAGCTGCATCCCAGCTCTGCTCTCCTGCAACACCCAGACAGCTCAAACCCTGCTGTCAACTCCCACGTGGGAGGACTTCTATGTGCCAGAGACCCAACAGGGACACTTTGAAGGTTTGATTGGTTCAGCAGATTCCTGGACTTACTTCCTGGGGTGTGTGTGGGGCTCACCTCCAGAGACCCAATGCCAAGAACAACCTGCTGCACCACCAACAGATTTTTCCCCTGAAAAATCCCACCCATCCCCATCAGCATACCCTTCCCCATCTTCATCCTCATTGCCAGCCCCACTCCATGCTGGAGACACTTCATCTTCCAGAGGCTGAGGGACTTTAAGCACCACAAGCACTCCCTTCCTGAGAAAGGCTGTGCTGAGCTGAGGACAGGATGTGCCATCTGGTATTTAAGGACAACCTTGTTCCTCACCTCCCAAATCAACCCAGGGCCCACGAGGCTGCAGAGCAGCTCCAAACATATTTTGTCTCCCAAAATGATGACTGATGACACTGAAATGGAGGCTGGAAGTCTGTACAGATACTCCTCCCCTGCAAGTCTGCCTTCCTCCCTGCCCACCTGTCCCCACTGTGCCATAGGGTGACAGTCCCAGGACTGGCTGTGGCAGGGTGGAGCACTGGTTACCTCGACCAGCCGCTTGTCTGATTCCAGCTTGTAGAGCTGCTCCTCGATGTCCTGCTCCCGCTCCTCCAGGCGGTCCTGCTGCTTCATCAGCATCTTCTGCAGAGATGAGGGAAAGCAGCATCGTCAGAGCCCAGCAGCTGCGTGTGCCAGTGAACATCAGTGCTGCCCACACTGGCTCTGCCCATATGGTTCAGGAGGGATGGTGCTTTTTCCCAGCAGGATCCCACTGCCAGGTTGAAAGCCCCCGCGTAGCTTGTGGAGCTGGAAACTTGGTTATTGCAATGGCAGAAATGGCAGAGGGGCTGTGTGTGCTGGGCTGGGTCCCCTGGATGGGGGCAGCACCTCAGGTAACTTTCTGCAGCCCAGTCAGTGGGGTTGGATCAGGGCCAAGCCCTGGAGACTGTGGAGGGGACACCGAGAGGCTCATCCCCCACGAAGGCAGTACCACTTTGAGGCCCTATTGCCAGCAGGCTCCTGTGAGACATCACCACCTCCCTCACACTCCCGTACGCCATGCCAAATCCTTTCTCCCTTCCCCGCCTCCTTGACAAGCCCCAGAGCCACTGTCAGCGTAATCTGGAGGGACAGAGTGAAGAGGAACAGAGCATCCCCCCACTACACTGCCAGCCCACAGCCCCACTCCTTGGGGCTGGGCCTGGGCCATCCACTGAAAAACTGGGACAAAACCTTATCCCCAGCTATCAGCACGAGTGCCTTGCTCCTGCATGCTTCCCAGCCAGGACAAACCCACTGCCCATCATAGAAGGGCTCCATCCCTGTGAGCAGGAGCAAGGCTTCCCAAAACACCCCTCAAAATCAACTGCAAATATTCTCCTTCATGTTTACTGGGGGGAAAAGCCAGGACACCAGCAGGGCGAGGAGAAGGGCTTCGCCTGGCACAGAGATGCGGCGTTCGAGACTCAACGACGGGGGCGAGATGGAAAGAAACCGGCAGCAAGAATGAATTTCGAGGGGATTATTGCTATTATAAACCGCCACTCGGGAATTTATAATCAAGTAATTAATTCCTGGACGAGGCGGGAGGGGGAGGGTGGCAGAGGCGCTGCCGGGATTAATTGCATTGCAGGGAAAGGCTGTCACCTCCGACTCAATTCAGGAGCAGGAATGCGAAGCCTCCTCCCTCCTGTTGTTTTTCTTAAGGTCTCAGGCACCTCCAGCCTTACTGTCACCGGGCTCCTAACACTAATAATAACGAGGAGCTAAAAAAACCCAGCTTCCCACTCACAGGCACGCTCCACATGCATGCTCGGGATGCACACGTGTGCACCCACCCAGGCACATGCAGACAGACACACAGACAGCACATCCACTGGAGCACGGCTGAGGGGCAGTCACAGCAACGCAGAACACCAGCCCATGGGGGGACATTTGCTGTGCTTGTGTACAGAAACACAGGGGCCTGTAGCATCCACAGGCATCACTGGAAACATCCACACTGAGAAAGACTTGAGGCGTATGTTAAAAATCTCCTTTTTTCATTGTAAAATGATCGTTATTTGTGCTGCTGCAGCATCATGAGGCTGCAGTCCACTCCCAGGCTTAACACGAGGGGAACTGAGCTCTGGAGAGTGAGTGCAACACCACTTGCTTGAACCTTGAAGAACCAAGGGTGCAGTCAGGAACTATGTCCTAGGTCCTGTGACAGCAGCCAGGCCTGAGTGTGGAGCTGGAGGGGCTCAGACAGGGTTTTGGGTCAAGCCCCAGGCAGAACTGTGGAGCAAGTAGACAACAGCCCCATATAGGCAGATTGAGAAGTGGCAGGCAACAAGCCTGCTCCTGGGATCCACAGAAGGAGATTCCTTCCAACATCCCTGCTTGCAGGAGGCCAGCTGAATGTGGGAGTTGGGCAGGTCATGCAGCACAGGCTGCTCACGCCCCACGCTGGGCAGCCAAAAGGACACAGCGAGCTTTGCATTGAGCCCTTCCCTACACCGCCCTCCCCACCACAGACTCCCCACCTCCACCACAGACAGGCAGACCCATCCCACACCAGCTCACCAGGAGGATGGCCAAGTCTAGCCAGACCCCCAGGAGCAGCCCCATCCTCAGCCTGACTTCCCTGTTTGCCAGCTGGGATGGGAGTGGGTTAAAAAACCAGGACAGGATCCCTCGCTGGCAGAGGGGCCAAACCCCCATCCCACTCCGTCCTACCCACCAGGTGTCTGACCTACCCCAGGCAGCCACTGCCCTTCCCCCTGATGGTGCTGGGATGCTCTAGCAGGGGAAAGCAGAGTTTCCTATCACTGGGAGATGCCAGGCAGGCCGAGGCCACCCTGCCAGCCCCACTGGTGTGAGGGACCCCCGAGGGAGGCCCCGAACAGCCCCGGACATGCACGTCCCATCGCCCTGCAGCTGCCGTGGCAGAGCTGCCAACCTTTGTGTTTTGTAAGAAACCTCAGACTGCTCCATTCCAGAATCATGCAATTATGTGAAATCACAAATATACATATAAACATATGTAAAAATAACTTTTTATACATATAAGTTAATTTAATTTCACCTCACAGCTGGAAAAAGTCACCAAAATCCAACCTAAAGTTGTAGAAATCAGACAGAATAGAGAACATACAGTGCTTTCTTTAAATCTCATATTTGAGCCACTCTCTTTTTAGGGTGATTTAAAAACTATACATGCCTGGGATTGCAGTGGAATGGGAAGGCTTTTCACCCACGGCAACAAAACCTTAACAAGACACAAGAGTATGAACTACCCCTTCTGGCACCAAGGGGCAAAATCTCATTGTCTATGCAACACAGGCTGAATTCTTTAGGTATTTTGAAAAGGAAAATATATCCCTTCCCCTTCCATCCCCTCCCAAATCTGGCATTTCTGAAGTCATGAACTCCTCCTCCTCCAGGATCAGAATTTCTCGGGGTAATTTCTCATATTTCATGCATGACCTTGGTGCTGGGAGAGCCGAGGCTCCCTCAGTACAGGCACCCTTCCCAGGCTGTGAGCAACTCTGATCCCAGTTTGTCTTTTCCGAGACACGTCGCCAGTTTGTGAAACGCATACTAAAAGTGCTTTTTATTCCAACACCAGCCAAGAGTGAATTAATCTCATTAATTAATAAATTAATCGGTGGCTGGGGTAAGTGGCTGGTCCACCATGACCCTGTAGGCCCCAGAGACACTGGGCTAGTTCATGGACACCAGCTTATTCTGCAGGAAATGAACATTATCTCCCCCCTCCTCATGGACAAAAATGAAGTGTGGGTACAAAAGGGCTGAGCCCATACGAGAGCTTGTGAACATGCTGTGGGCATCACCCCTGCAAGGGAGCTGGACCACCAAAGGTGGAAGGACAAAGGAAGGGATGTTATTGCTCACTTCCCTTTGGGAGCGAGGGTGCACTCCTCCCGTGCAGGCAGAGGAGGGTAACTCCTGAGCAGCAACTGTGGCAAGTCAGATGGGTTTGGGGTACCAAGGTCATGCACTGGGACTGAAACATTGCTTGGAGGGACATCTCTGCAAGGTCTCCTTGCAGGGAGGATGCACACAGCTGGTCCCCATGGGATTGTGCTGGGGGGAGGCTTGCTGAGCATCGTTATCCATGGCACTTGCTGGGAGGAAACCACAGCCTGCACCTTACTGCACTTCCTAGTCAGCCCCCACAGACTATGTGCTGACCCCAGCTCCCAGTGGCCACCCCAGCATGGGACACATCCACCCTGCCAGGCAGGGCATAGGGATATGTCTGCTGGGGGATAGAGCAGTCCCAAAAAAGAACTTCTGCAACATTAAATGCCTGCAGCCACAAGACAGAAAGACAGTAATGGAGTTTAGCAGCTCTGATGCTACAGGGCACCTATGGTTCTCATCCAAGAGCCACTGCAGGGCTGCAGCACCAAAAGCCTCAGATGTGTTACACACACGGGTCCAGCTCAACCCGCTGGGAAAACCTCCACTCTACTGGAGGGCACTGGGGTGTAGGAAGGAGCTCACACCCATCCAAGACCTCCCAGGCAGGGAACAACCTGTGGGCAAGATATTTTCCCTGACTTGTCTTAGGCTGGTATCAACACTGTCCTCTCCCAAAGGGCAGAGCTAAGCCTGTGGTCACTGCTGAGCCCACAGTAGCAGCGGATATGGCTCTGCCCTGCCTGAGGCCCAGTACTCCCCTCATCCCCTGTTTGCAGCCCCCAGAAGCCCATTGCCCTTGGACCATCATCAGGACAGCAAAATCCCATTACATGCCCCAAGGTTTTGTGTTCTCTGAGGCTGGTCAGGGCTCTTGTGTGCCTCCCAGCGAGAGCAGGCAGGGGAGAACCTCTGGCACCCCTTCCCTGGGGGCTTGAGTGCTCACCAGCCCCTGCCCATTTCCAAGCAGGATCAGGAAGGAGCCTGGCAGCTTCACCAGAGGCAGAGCGGTGCCCCATGACCTGCTGAGCTGCTGTGGTTTCCAACAAGAGCTGGAGCAATGAACAGCTTACTGTGTTCACAGGGCAAATGGAGCCCATGCAGCTTCTCTTCATGTCTAATAGGCACTGTGCATCCTTCAGGGCCATCCACCTTGCAAGAGCAACCGAGTGCCCATGCACTGACCTGTGGGATGTTTGCAGGATCCTAATTCCCAATAAACTCTGCTGAAACTGTCTGTGGGTTTGGAGGGTACTACAGCAGGGCAGGTGGACAAACCACAGGAGTGCACAACCCTCATTCCCGTAGGAAACTGGGAGAACAGAGAGCCAGATTTCCCCACAGAGCACCTTTAACCACAGCTGGACAGCTGGCCCAGGACAGGCACACTCACTTCTCAGCCTCTCTCCTTCCTCCTCCTCTGCGCCCAGGCCTTCCCCTCACCGCCAAATCCCAGCCACTGAGTGAATAAGGACATTGTTTGCAGTCACCGGAAAGCAAGAACGGAGGGAGCAGCTTGGAGCATGAGGGGCAGGAAGGGTGAGGAGGAGGAGGAGGAAGGTGGAACCGGAGTGAGGAAGCTGCAAAGGGCAGATGCTTGTTGTGGGAATGGCTCCAGACACCTGCAGCTCAGCCCAGGGACCGGGATCAAGAGCCCCCATTGAGACACATGTCCCAGCACGTTGCTGGAGACGGGCCTGAAGTCACAGTGACTGAATTTTAATGCACCAAAAGCTCTGGACCAAGGAGGCGAGTGCAACCTTTTGCCTCCCCAGGCCTCCCACACACAGGCTTCCCTCTCCCCTGCCCTGCTCCACTGTCAGCTGGACCATTTTCTGAGAAAAACCCACGTCATGAGCTATTTTCATCCCTCCTGAAAGTGTCACCCCACCTGCCAACACATCAGAACCTTGACACTGTGCACATCTGGGGCACAGCACTGCAGTGCCCCCAAAAACAGGATCTCAAATAATGAGGTCATGCACCATGCACTGCCACAGCCCAAACCCCTGGAGTGTCCCTCCCACCCTGCTGGTGGCCTCCTGCTGACCAGACCCAGGCAAAACCAGCTCTTTCAAACCCCCACAACTCTCACAACACTCGCAGGAGGCTGATCCTTTTAAAGAGGCAGGAAGGAAATGCTTTCTCGTTGGGGTTTCATCTTGCACATTTACAGTAAGCACCAGGCAGAAGTTCGGAAGGTCTCCAGCCAGAGCACGAGGTCTTCCCTGCCCTGGCCAGCCCAGAGCACACACAGTCCTCCAGGCTTTGGCTTTTCTCACAGTGCTCCCTGTGCAGAGATCAGGCTGGTTTATCCTCAACAGGGGAAGGAAGAGGGGAGGGGAACAGCCTGAGATATTAATAGCTGCCCTTGCTAGGGAGGGATGGGAAGTAGCAGTCATGCAGTGAACGGGCACCAAAGAGACCCCCTTTCCAGCACTGAGGGACACCTGAGCACCAGGCGAGCTGGTGCTTTGTAGAAAAGGGATAAAAGCCAAATAATCAGCTCCAGCTTGGGGGAAGAGGATGTACAGGTGCCTCTTGCAAGAGCAGCTCTCCACACTGTTCACATATTGGAGTGGGCCAGGATGCCTCCTGCTTGTCCACATCACCCTGTGGGATGCTGCCTGGACTCTGAGCCTTCCCTGGAGAAAAAAACCATCAGGCTTTGACCCATGTCCCATCTCCACTGGCTACCCCACAGGTACAGCCCCACCTCCTTTGCCCACCCCAGCACAGGGCATCCCTGCAGCACAACTGGCACACAGCAACTGGATGCTCCCACTGATCCATGACTCATGACTGCTTAGCAAAACCAGGTTGGGCCAGGCTCCTGGAGCATCCCAGGACAGTGGGCATGGCAGACCATATTTCCCTGTATGTCCCTGTACCAGAGCAGATCCTGGACCACCAAAGGGCTGTGCCGGTGCCTGCAGCCTGGGACAGCTCTTTCCCTTGTTTACACCTGCAGAAAGGCAGAACTTAGTAATTAGGAGAAAATACAAGGCATTGTGTTGCATGGGGCCAGCAGCAGGATTTCTGGAGGCCAGGAAATGGGGACCTATTCTCTGTCAGAAAGTGACCTTCAGGGGGATCTTGAGAATGCTAATTCACCTTCCTGGGCCTCTGTGCATCCCCCTGCTCATCGTGGCCATGGGAGTTACTTCATACTGTGCCTCTCACACAAATGGGGGAACGAGGCTGGGGTTCTACCTATGGTTTTTGGACCCCAACTTCAAGCCATGGCCCAGCTGCCACTGCTGTCAGTGTCCTTGGAGTAGGGATGAAGATTTGCTTTGAGAGGAAAAGGTGGATAAGGGAGATTAAGGAGCAGATAGATGAGGCCAGTACCTGGAGACACATCACCTCTCTACCAGCAGCCTTGCAAGTCCTGGAGGAAGGAGCCTTCCTCATACTGGCTGTCCAGTATGGGTGATGTACCCCTCAAAACAAAGGCTCCCTCCATGCAAAGCACAACTAGAGGCAGTGAAAGCAGGGCAAACTGCCTGTGCCAGACCTGGGGCTCCAGACTCACTCATAACATGTGCAGAAGAGGAAAAAAGGAGCTGGAAATGCACCAGGAAGATGAATACCAGGACAAGAAGCTAGTTTGCATGCCGAGCATGCAGCCAGGCGAGTCATGACTGATGCTGCTGGCTCCACAGGACAAAGAGGAGCCTTGGTGATAGAATCATAGAATCATAAAATCATTAAGATTGGAAAACACCTCCAAGATATCCGAGTTCAACCTTTGACTGAACACCACCTTGTTAACTAAACCATTATCACTAATGGCCAGGTCCAGTAATTTTTTGAACACTTCCAGGGATGGTGACTCCACAACCTCCCTGGGCAGCCCATTCTAATGCTTAACCTCCCTTTCAGTGAAGAAATTCTTCCTGATATCCCACATGAACCCTCCACAGCGCAGCTTGAGGTTTGTCCTTGTCTTGTCACTTGCTGTCTGAGAGAAGAGGTCCACCCCCACCTTGCTACACTCTCCTTTCAGGCAGTTGTAGAGTGTGATAAGGTCTCCCCCAGGTCTCCTTTTCTCCAGGCTAAACACCCCCAGCTCCCTCAGCCAACCTGTGCTCCAGGCCCTTCACCAGCTCTGTTGCCCTTCTCTGGACTCGCTCCAGCACCTCAGTATTTTTCTTGTAGTTAGGGGTCCAAAACTGAACCTGGGATTTGAGGTACTGTGCTGAGTACAGGGGAATGGCCACAGTCCTGGTCCTGCTGGCCACAGTACTGCTTTACAAGCCAGGATGCCACTGGCCTTCTTGGCCACCCGAGCAACTGCTGGCTCATGATCCCCAGGTGCGTTTCTGCTGGGCAGCTTTCCATCCACTCTGCCCCCCAGCCTGTGGCACTGTGTGGGGTTGTTGTGATCCAAGTGCAGGATCCAGCACTTCACTTTGTTGAACCTCAATCAACTGCCCATGGCCCATCGATTCAGCCTGTACAGATCTCTCTCTAGAGCCTTCCTAGTATTAAACAAGCCTGGTCCCAAAACTGAGCCTTGGGGAACCTCACTAGTGACTTGTGCCTTTGGCCAGTAGAGCCACTTCCTGCCCCGTACCTGCCAAGAGAGACAGCATCTCATCAGGGAAACTGCTCCCACGCTGTGTCCCAGTGCCACAGGGACAGCAGATGCATTTGGGTGGTGCAGGAGCAAGATGGAAAGACCACCTCTGAGAGCTGGGGCTGCAGGCACTACCAGGCCCTCAGGGCAGTGAGGAACTCAAGGAATTTCTTTTCTGTCTGCTGGGAAGGGAGCATGGGCCAACAGCCCACCCCAGCCAGCTTTTGGCGGGAGGACAGCACAGGCCACCTTTGCTTGGGAGCGAGGAGAGCCAGGAGGAGTCACAGGGCTCAGCTCTGTGTTTATGAAGGACAAGGTCTGCATCTTCTTTGCCACCAGGGATGCAGGGGAGGAGCTCTTTCCCCCACCTCTTTCAGTTTTAGGGGGAAAATGTACATGTTTAGGGCTGCTTATAAATGAGTGCCAAAATTCACCCTGCTGCTGAGCCATCTCCAGCACAGGGCTCTGGCTGCAGGCCTGGGCACAAACCTGCCCTGCCCAGCACCAAATGCCCTTTAAGTAACCAACTCAGGAGCACCAGCACTGGGAGACTGCAGGGAAAGTGCAGGGATTTGTGACATCCAGGAAGTTTCAGACACCCAGACCTAAGTGCCTTGAGCAACTGTTTTCACGCCACTTAGGAGCTCAGACTGACACCAACACCTGGAGCACAACTGGTCCCCATGACCAGTGTTGCCTTGTGCTTCATCCCCACCATGCCAGAAAATAAAATCTGGGGCCTGTAGCTGTATTGAGTGGGATTCACTAGATTTCACAGTTTTTCAGAGCCTAAAATATCATGTAATAAGTCCTGCCCTTTCTGCCTTCAGCACACTCTGTGCTTGTGTTTTCTCAAATGTTTCAATCAATTTATATGGACATTAGAGGGGCCCTACCATCCTTTTCTCCCTCATGTCTGTTTTCATCCATCTGCCCCTTCCCAACCACAGCTACAGATAAAAAATTAATCCAGAAAAAAAAGAGCAGTCTGTCTTTAGTGGGATCATCTCCCCCAGCTGGCTCTTAGAAGCGCTCTGCCAGCTCCAATGGTGGCAGTCTGGGCAGCAAAGGGAGATCACTCAGGGCTGAAACTCAAGCTGAATCACAAAGTCCTCACACCAGCCCTATTGCTCTGACATATCATTTCTCAGTTGCTCCTCCCATAACCCCCATAAAAAATTCAACAGGCTTTGGCAGCACCCCCTCGATCTTCTGCTGTCTCAAGTCTTGTCTAGCTTTGTTAAATTCCAAGATCTTCCCAATATGACAAAATCTCAGCCAGTTGTCCTCAAACTAGCTAGGGGAATGGCTTGCCTTACAAAGGAGCCATCCTGCAAAGACCCATCCTATTGCTTGGCAGCAAACCTACCCCCATCTGCAAGCCCTGCAAAATTGAGAAACCCTCACTCCCCCTTCCAAATAAACATCTTGGATTCAAGATCCAGCTGGCCTGTGTGATCTCAGAGCCTTCTCCCTGCAGGGGTGAAACACAGCCAGCCTCTTCCACCCTTGCTCCCAGTGCAGGCTGAGCAGCCTCTCCCCTGCCCAAAGACCTCCACTCCGCACCCACCAGGCTGAGTCCTGCCATGGGAAGCCCTGAGCTCTGAACAGCAGCCTCTTTGGCTTCCCTCCTCTCCTGATTTCTACTTTCTGCTCTGGAGGGAGCCTGGCACAAGGATGTAGAAGCATAAACAGGTCTTATGGGGAGCTCAGATACCTCTGAGGAGCAGAGCAGCAGCAACAATACCCATGTGTACCCACATCCCAGCCATGAGACCACTGGCAATGACCTGCAGCCACGTGCCCCATCAGTGTCTCATTTGGTGAGCCAAAGACAAGGGGTCCAGCAGCACACAGCACCTCTCCAGACTCAGGCAGCACTAGAAAGAAAACCCTCCTTTGATTTAAAGGCCATGATTTTATTTTTTTCCTCCCAACTGATCTAGTTAAACTTCCAACCGCTCAAGGCTATTTTAATTTGTACTGGTAAGTTAAATCAACACAAACAAGGACAGAACAGGTTTATATGCACGTCTATTACTGGCCTGCACCAACTAAAGTGCAGCTACATTTCTCCAGGCAGCTTTTTTTTTTCTCTAATAAAGATAAGGGGGACGTTTTTGTGCACCTCCAACTGACAAATGGAGCCTGAAAGTGAATTGGGAGTCAAAGCCTTGAGGAAAGTCAAGGTGACTTATGCACCAATAGGCTGGATTCAAAGAGCTTTGCAAAAATGCAGATCAACTAACAAGATTTATAAAACTCGTTAGGGGCTTAGAGGTCACTTAATTCTCAAAGGTGCCAAGGAAAGTGCCTGACTCGCAGAAGGATGGATGGGGCTTACAGAGGTGGCTATCTCAACCTTTCAGTCGCTTCAAGAAAAGCGGACTCAATTTCTGTTGGAAATGAGGTTTTGACATGCCAAGATGTTTACTGTGAGCCTTGGCTCCTTCATCACTTACTTTAAAGAAAAAGAAACCAAGTTCTGTTGCTGCAGACAACTGTTACAAACATCTACTGAAAGCCACAGCAGAATCTGCTGCTTCAGCTCACCAGCGCCAGACACCACCCAGAGGAGTATGAGACCAGATTCAGCACACAAACTGGAAAAGACAGAAGTGGGGAAAAGACCTCACGCTTCTACAGTTCCCCAGTGCCTGGCATTTTGCAGGCTGCAAGCAACTGTCAGCACCTGTGGGCAGCCAAGGAAAGGTACAGCGAGTCCATCCACCCCAGTGACCACAACCAGAGTCTGCTGAGCACCAAGTACCCTCCATTGCCTCCCTGCTGGGTATTTTCTCTTACCATTTTTTTTTTTGTGAGGTGGTTGTTGAGAATCTGAAAGCCTGGATTATAATCTTTATGAATCCCATAGTTAGATCGTGCTGAACAGCAGCCCAGCAATACCAGATGTTCAAACAAAGCTGCCAACCGACAGCTGTCTGCAGCTTGCAGCGTGTTTTTACTTTAAAATGCAAAATGATACCAATCTATATTAAAAGAGAGACGTTCAGAGCCTTGCGATAGCAGCTGAAGCCGCGGATATTGCTCTTTCACGCAGGGTGTGGCAGCAGAAGGAAATATCTCAAAAACTACTGCTTAAGCCACCCTCCCAGCCCCCCCAAATCCTGGCCCCTTTCCTAATGGGAAAGAGACTCACGTTACTGCCTGAGTGCCGTGAATGTACCAGTGCGTGTCCAAACAAGCCAGCAAAAAGAAAAATGCAGCATGAACAAACAGTGTCTAACGAAGGATGCCAGAACGAATCTGGGCGCTGCCCACACCTGGCTCTCAGCGGCATGGGGAGGACAAAGTGACACGTGGGGGGATGGAGGGAACCAGTTCTGGGGTGGAGGGTGCAGTCTATCCTGCACCAGTGACCAAAGTGGGACAGGAAATGTCCCTTCTGGCAGCACACCACTGCCAGTGGAAGCGTGGGATGGAGGGGCATCTTCCACTGCTCCGGCCTGTCTGCCCAGCATCTCACCTCAGGTTGTCCCACGTCCCTCTAACACACACAGGGATGCTCTGGTCCCACTGGAGAAACTCTGCCTGAGTTTCCTTGATGTGAAACAGGTTTTCAACTTGCATTGCTTGGTACCTTTATTTCTTAGGCTGGCTGGCACCAGGCAGAAAGCCCTACAACCCTGCAACCTTTTCTGCACACCAGGAGCTAGAGAAGGCCAGAACTGCAGCTCAGCCTTGCTCTTCATTATTTCTCCCTCTGGAAATGCAAGCCACCCACAACGACCACATTTTGGGAATGGCAAGTCCTGAACACACTAGGCATGGCACAGTACTCCTGGCTTGCAGGAATTGTGCAAAAAAGCACTCTAATTTACTCAAACGTGATGTCCCAAATTCCCCACCAGCCGCGATCACAGGAAATCTCTGGGACCTCTCCCAGGGCTGCCTCATTGTACTCTGAGCAGCAACAGCATGAATGAATCATGCTCCTCAACGTGACACCCAGCTCCCAGCAACGTATTCGGGACCAAAATATTTATGTTGCAAATGAGTAAGAATAGGCCAGATCCCCTCCCCAGCCTGGTGCCATAAAAAGGCCAACCTGGTCTTGCATTAAGCAAGCGGGTGGCAGAAGGATAGGAAAACAGAAGGCAGAGACCAGTCCCACGTCTTGCAGCCTGGATCTGCCCAGCAATGCTGAATCAGAGCCTTCCCACTTACAGCAAAACCCCAAAGTGGCAAGCACCGAGACTACAAACCCTGTGGCACCATGCTACCTCTGGGTGACATGTGAGGGAGAATGCTGGGACCTGTAGTTTCCAGCCAGCCAGCAGCAAAATGCCATCCTCCAGTAAACACATCTCAAATTAAAGTGATGCAAGGCCCCCAAACTCCTGGCAAGGTGCCAGCAGTGGCTTCCTGTTGGCAGGCACTTGGCCAATTCCCATGCGTTGCACTAGCCCCCTTTCAAGGAGAAGCCAAGAGCCCACACCCCACAAATCCCCTCGCAGATGACCTGCAACCTGCCCTTTCCAAAGGACGTGTCTGCATGGACTGCAGGATGCTGATGCAGCCCTGGCCCGCAGGAAACATCAGCCCTGCTCCTGCCTCGCTGCTGGACCCCTCCACCTTTGCTCCATGATGCTGCAATACCAGCCCCAGAGCAAGACCCTGCACCCAGTGCTGGTCAAACTTCAGCTACATGAAGCCCAACAATGTAGTCCTCGAGGGGTCCCATTAAGCCTCCCATCAGAGGCTTAGGCAGCAAAAAGCAACACACTGGCATGGTGTTTTCAGGCAGAACAGCACAAGTAGGCAAAGCTCCACCGAATCACCATACCAGTAAGGCTGGGGACAGCCACCTCCCCACAGGATCCCAGATGGGCACACAGCCACCCTGGGAGTGCTGTCACCCTGTGCTCCAGCAAGACCAGACCATACATCACATCCTGGGGAATGTGGCACCCCTCTCCTTGCCCGCTCACCCTCCCCGCTGCGGAGGAAATTGTGCGCCCGGCTGATGTCAGGAGGCATCACTTCACACAAAGGCCAGGCTTCCTGGCGGGGAAGGGGTGGGGGAGTGGGGAGGAAGGGGAACAGGAGCCCGGGGCAAAGGCAAAGGCATCTACAGCTCCTTGTGTACGCAAAAGGGGCAGCAGCAGGAGACAACATGGCCCCGTCTGCTTCAATTGCCCTTGCACCCGGGAAGGAGAGGCAACATCCTCTTTCCTAGTGCCCTTCACAGGAGCCACAGCACGGCCCTGCCCTGCAGCGTGTGCAGCCCTTTAAGAATGCACTGTAAAGAAGGGACTCAAGTTTATTTTAATTTGCTCCCACAAATAAATCACTTCCACTTTCTTCGTGCCAGGCTGTGGCTGTTGCCAACCAGAGGACACAGCTCCCTGCTTAGCACCCAACCAGGAGAAAAATTATTTCTATGACAAGATCCAACATCAGCACCCCCAAAATCAGCACGAGAGTGCACCCCACCTGTCTCCTGCTCATGGGTGGCTAAATACCCATGGTACCCATTAATTGATGAATACAGATAAAAATAACATATTGAGGACCAAAGGCAAGAGTAATCAGCAGCTCTCATTTCCCAAACTCCTCTCCCCGGTATGCTCCCCAAAGCCGAGCATCTTTCAAAACATGGCATAGCACGGTACCCACAGCATCAATACGACCTCCTGCTTCAGCATCTCCTCTCCTCCTCTACCTCCTGCAGTCCCAGCTCACCCCCAGGCACTGAAAGAGGCTGCTGGCCAGCACCAGGCTACATTGCTTTTGTCTCCAACTCAGCCACTCTCTCAAGGACAGGAGCACTCTGGGCCAGCTGCACAGGGACCAGTGAAGAGGGCTCGGCTGTAGGGGACCTGCAGGATGTGGTCGATGTTGATTGAAAAGGGAAATCACTGATATTGCAGAAGGCAGCCAGGGAAGGTGGATTTTGGATGTGGACACTGTCAGGGAATAACTGTAAAGGAGCAAACCCTGATGTTCTCCTTCAACGTGCTGACTAGTGCTCCTAGGAGAAGGCCTGTCATTGGTTTTTAATCTCACCCGATTACGGACCAGCCTTTGACATTATTGATCTCAGGCCCCTGAAGTATCATTTATCTTCCAGGTTTGACTCAGCCATCAGAGCTCGACAGCTCAGACCCCAGTCAGCTCCATCCTCCCAGGGAGCCAGGGGAACTGCCCTGCACAACTCCAGTGCTGCTGATTCACGTGAGCCATATTTGACACTCAGTTTCCATCCTCACATAAGGTGTCTTTCACTTTCTGCCTACCTGGCATTTCATTTTCTGACTCCAAAATCCAGCTCCTCAGGTCTCTGGCAGACCAGCTGCTTCCTCAAGCTTGGCAGTCCATGATGCCTCTAGTGTGCCCTGCTTCCCCCTTTCAGTTTCATTATCCTCTTTCAAAGAGGATGCGGTGGAGACACAAATGTTATGGGATGTGCTGAGAACTGCACAGGGACTGGGGGAGCAGTGCCAGCAGTCAGTGTACAACCAGAGAAGCCATTTCTAGCTGTGACCCACTGCCATTTTCTAGAGCAGAAAGGACCAACAATGGTAGCTCCTCATTCTCTGGTGAGATTGTACCCACAGAAAAAACAGGCAGCTATCACGGACCTGTGGTGGCTTCCCCTTACCTGCCAGCCAGCACCGCTGCCACAGGGCCAGCTCATGACTTTTGCTTGACCTTGAAAACATCAATGCCTGCTCCCTCCACCAGACCCAGAAGAGATGGGCTGACAGGTTCCCTTTCCCCTGGATATCTCCATCCCCCACCCAAACTGACAGACGCTCCCAGCCTCCATTGTTTAGGAAGCACAAGGTTTTCCTCAAGTGCCTTTGTCAATAGTTACTAGATGCAGTATGTAGATGAAGGCTGTCTTTTCAGATGCCTCCTGTCTCTCTCTCCTCTGAAGCCAGGCCTTGTGTTTTGGAAAGGAGGAGTATTTCCTGAGGAAGACTCCAGTGGGCAGTTTTAATGCATAGAGAGAGGAAGGTTTAGTTTTTGTTCTTCACCTTGTTATATTAATATCTTATTGCTGAAAAGCCCTTTGGTAAATGGAGATTAATACCATGTGAGTTCATAGATTGTAGCAGGAACCAGCCCTGGGGAGGACCAGGGGAGGAAATGCCTGGATGGGAGCACCTAGAAGGGTCCATGTCCTGCAAGGTAACCACCATTAGCAAAGAATGCTCCAGTCTCCAGGACTGCTTCCCCACACTGCCATGGACCTCCTGACTCCTAACTGGTCTCCCCACCTCTGCTTACCTCTAAATTAGGGTAATACCTTGACTGCCCCATCCAGACTTTAGATTGTTGCAGAGATTAAAATGATCTTTTTCTCCCTTGTTCTAAGTAGAATGCTACAAATTCCTTAGCTGGAGGACAGGCCTTGGTTTCACTTGCTGGGCTTACATACTCGGGAGATGCATTTGGAAAGTGGAGGCCTTCACACCAGGCACTATTTCCAGTTCCCTGCCCAGATGCCCTGTTGTGCAGGATGCCAGTAGGCACAGGCAGGAAAATAGCCCCCAGATGTGCTCTCATTCCCTTGATGGGGGCAGGCTCTGTCCCCACCCCCTACAACCAAACTACCTCTGACCAAAACAGAGCTCACAGGCCTCAGCCACCCAGTCACAACAGTGCAGCTGTGGCAGGAGAGCTGCAGTAATTCCCTCCCGGATCTGGCCACCCCCATCACTAAGGGGCTAGCACAATACCAGAGGGAAGGGGGAGCGCAGCACCCGCCCCCGCACTGTCCCCAAAGGGTCTGTGAGTGGGACAGAGACCTCGCAGCACATTTATTCCGCTCCATCCATTTGAGAGGCACGCTTCAAGGGGCTTTTTGCCGTCAGAGGCGGGTGCACCAGGACAGGAAAAGAACAAAGGGAGGCACCGGCACCCCCAGCCCTTTGTCTGAGCGCAGAGGAGTTCACCTGCAGGGAAAACCTGCTCCACCGCAGAGGCGGCAGCTCCACATGGATTCAGATGGGGAGAGGGATGCGGCCCCCCCTTGTAGCAAGAGCATAATGAGCAGAAGGACGCAATCACATTACCCTCTCTCTCCCCTTGCCACATGCACAAGCCCATTACAGTGCTCACCAACCCCCCTGACTTACCAACAACCCAACAACCGCAACCAGCAATAAAAACCTTTGCCACAGAAATATCAACCCACCCCCCAGCGTGATCGATCTGTGTCTGCGTGTGGCCCAGCACCAAACCCTGGAGCTCGGCTCCACCGACCAGGATTGACTGGGAGGGATGGGGGTGGGAGACTAGTTTCCAGGGGTTGGGGTTTTAAAGCCACACAATAACTGGCTGAAATGAGGGTTTAGATTAAGCTGTCGTATGGCAAGGGAAAACACTGCCTCCATTAGGACATGCAGGATTTTCCTTCCCTTTCTCCAAAGCTACAGCTCTACGATGAAGCTTCCAGGTCACCCAGGCAGGGAGAGAACTGGGTGATGCCGAGCAAATGGGGGATCCTGAACAGGGAGAGATGGGGAGAGGGAAGAAAAGGCAGATCAGCCCTCTCCAAGCCCCAGATCATACAGTCGGCTGCTCTGACAATGTTTACTCATATTTCAGAGAGACACAGCCATCCGGAACATCACTCCCTGCCAACTGCCTCATCTGGAGCCATCCACAGTTCGGCTCTTCCCAGCCCACTCCAGAAACAGCCCCCCCATCAAAGCATCCACACAGCAAAAAACTGAAAAAGGAAAGGTAGAGGGAAAAGAAAAAACAGAAAAACTAAATTAATTAATGTTTTGTGGTTTTTTTAACAGTTCTGGTACATCATCTCAGCAAATCGATGTCTTGGAATGTGCTTGGAGTGCAACGGCACCGCTGCAGAGTGCAGGGCACTGCGCTGAGCTGGGAGTTTCTGCTCATGTTACCATCACAAGAGAATCACAAGACAGAAGAGGGACAACCATGATGCCCTGGTGAGAACAGGCTGAAGTTGTCCTTATCAGAAAGGATCCAGGACTGAGAACCCCTTTCCTGAGTTCATCTGGGGGACATATGTAAAAACTTGCGTGCATCCAGAGTCTCATGCCTGTGAATAACCATCCCTCCCTCCATATCTGGGACCAGACACCTCCTCCTCCCATTCCCAAGTATGCTAGATGTAGCTCTCCCAGGAAAAGGAGGGGTAGCTGCCTCTGTCCTTCCGTGGAGGAAAGGGAAGGGCAGGACATCCCTGGTCCTGCAAATGTCATATCTCTCCACCAGTGCCCCAGCATCTGCTTCAACCTCTCTTCCAGCAAACAGAGGTTCATTGCAGAAAATTGGCTATCACTGCAAGCAAGCTCAGCAGCTCTTGAGTCCTCTGTGCCATCCCCCTTACTTCAACCCAAACAGCATCTCCTCAGCCTACAGGCTGCTGGTAAATGCAGGAAGTTGACAAAGTCACCAGAACCTAGCCCAGATCCATAGCATTATTTTTTTTAAAGCAAAAAAGCCAGGCCAGACCAGATTCTGCCCCGAAGCCTGTGTGGCAAAGCAAAATCCTGCTCCAAGTATTTATTTATAAATCCGTACATACATGTACATTTGAATTCTGACAGAATTAATTCTGGCATCCGGCTAATTCAAAGCATTCCTCCCCCATCACACTACTGTTGCAGGCCAGCCCTGCACAGAAGCTGATTATAAAATGCTGCACTAGCCAGGCATTTCTGCAAAGGCTTGTGCTATTGAGCATTCAGTCTTTCCTTGCTTGGCTATTTCATTGTTTCGGTGTCGATCCCTCCTCTCTTGCCCTGTGTTTCCTGGTTACTTTTGTCCCTGCTCTGGAAGCACTGCTGCTTCTCAGCCCCTTTTCAGTGTTAGATTGAAAAAAACCCAAAACAATTACATGAAATTAAAGAGAAGAAAGGAAGAAATTATCACCATGCACCAAGATTTCTAGTAAACAGATAGGTAACGAGCAAAAAATAGGCCAATATGCTGCAAGGCAAGCTGCAGACAGATCTGGGGATAGAAAGCCCGCTGCCCGCCTCCCAAGTACAGCTAAGAAATCCCTGTGTGGTCACACGCTGTCCTCTGGAGCAGAGAGGAGAGAGGTCAGGGCAGCCAGCACTGTAAGAGCCTCTTTATTCTTGGGCAGTTGCACGAATCTGATCGCTTGTGCCCTTTGTGAGACATGGAAATCTGCCTCCTCCTCCCACCCCCTTCACCAGCCCCTCTTCTGCTCCTCCCGCTCAGATGGGGACAGAGGCAACTCCTTGGCTCCAGAGGCAAAGACCAAAGCAGCAGAGAGCCTCTGGATGCCCCTCTGGCAGGACCAGGCCTGGATGAGCCTGTGGGAGACCTTGAGAACAGTGCTCTGCTGGAGCAAGGGGAGGGGAGAAGGGAAGGACAGTCCTTCCCTTCTTGCACGTTCCTTGAAGGGCTCACGAGGCTGAGGGGTGGATAGAAGTCCAGGGTGTCCCACTGCAGTTCATGCCTCTCCTACTTCTCCCTCTCCATCATGCTCATGGGCTTGAGGAGAACAGCATGCTGATCACCTCCATGCCAGCAGACACACGATACTCACATAAATATCACATGATAGATTCAGATTAAACAAGGGTCTGGGCTAAGTTCATTATGCCCTCATCACCAGACAAAGCTGGGCTCAGACCTCCTAGTTCAGAGACCAGACCACGACAACCCTGTCTCATGGGCTCATTCAAAGTCACTGCTGAGGGAGGGCTTCAGGGTGGAAAGCTCTACGTAGGCCAGGGCAGTCTGGTGAGCAAGGGTGTAAGCCTGGGCTACAGATTGTTGCTATTCCTTCCAAAGCAGCTCAAGGTCCTCAGGTGAACCTTTTCTTATCTCTCCTCTTTCCACCTCACTCTCTGACAGCTCCCATCCACACTGCGTTGTTCCCTGTGGGAAGAGACCATTCTCCATAGCAGCCCCTGTCCTACTCCTTTACCAAGGCTGTCCCCTCCATACAAGTCTCCTCCCTCCCACCCAACCCACCAGGCTGCCTCCCAGCACCCTCCATCTCTGCTGCCACTTCTCGGATTGACTCTACACAAAAGACTTGCAGCTGCAGGTCTGGAGCAACCAACTGCTGGCAACCTGATGGGCTAAGGGCACAGAAAATGTGCCCTTAGTAGGAAAGCTCAAGCTTAGTAGGAAAGCAGCAGGGAAAAGCCCTTAATCCAAACCCTGTGGAGGCAGGAGACTGCTCCAGTTCAGCCAAAGATCTGGGACTGCCAAGATACCCACTGCTGCTTGGCCAGCAAACCCAGAGGGGTTTGCAGCAGAGTGGCTCAGCCCCTCCAAACCTCTCCAGGGCAGCTCAGGCTGCTCTGACTTGAACTGAAGTCTGCTGCCCCTGACAACACCGAGCAGCAAAGCCTGACAGATGGATGTGGTGAGTGGCACGGAGCTAGGAAGCCAGGCTAGGTGGGTGCTGGGATTTCTGCCACTGCCCAAGGCCCAAGAAGTCAGTGCTCATCATGGCAGCTTGACCAACTGACAGCACCCTAGGGCACAATGATCAGCCACATTTAGGAGCACAGTACCATATTCCTGAGGCCCCTGGGCAGGAATTAGGGCATAAGCAAAGCCAGGGAAGGAAAGACCTGGGTTAGGCCTGACTAACCCTTGGGCTGGGCTGGCTGTTCAGCTCTGGGGTGCTGGTGGAAGTTCAGATGGCAGGCGCAGGGAGAAGCTGCACAGCTCCTGCTTTGTAGGATCTGCTGCAAAAGTTGTCTGGGGACCGGGTATGCTCAAAGAGTGCCCCAGCAAATGCCTGCCAGGCACCAGCCACACCACCTACAGCCACGAGAGCTAAATTAGCACTCAAGCACTTGGGCACTTGCACTCACAATGCCTGCAGTGAGCTGCGTGCCGTGCTCCTCATAAACAAGTCATCTGGAAAATAAGTAAGCCTGTAAAAATCCAGTCCATCACAAGTTACCAAACCTGTTTCAGAGTAAAACAACCTAGAGCTCATGCCAGAAGCCTGGCAGTGAAGCTGATACCAAGTTTCCCCACCAGTGGGACTCCCTTGGTCCCAGCAAAACATCCCTGGCACTGATGGCAGCACGGGGATGCCACGTGGGACTTCGTGGTGGCCAAAGCTGGCAAAGAATCAGTGTTTCTGGTACAGACTTGAGATCCATCTCTTCCTGTGCTCCTACCAAGCACTCACCTTTCGTCATCCTCCTAATTTAGAAGCACGAGTTGGCTGTATGTGGGGTGCTGCCAAAAACGAAAGCCCAAACCCACTGAGTTGCAGACGGACTCGGCAGCCCAGTCCCTGTCCCCCTGGATTTGCTGAACATACACTGCTCCATGGACAGTGCTGGATGCTGTTCCTGCACATCTGCAGTAGGATTCCCAATGTTTTCTTCCAGGTCTCAGCACCACAATGCATTTTCTCCCACTTAATGCTCAAAGCCACCAGAGATCTTCAGAATGTGAAGAGATTTCTAGGAAGTAGGACAGGGAGAAATCGATCTCCTTCCTCCAAAACAAAACAGAAGCAGAGCATCTCTACCCAAGCTCTCTTCCACTGGTGGCACCTCTAACTGAGGACAGGCACCTGGGAAACCTCTGAGCAAGCTCAGATGTACCCGCCCTCAATCAACTGTGTCCCACACAAAGACAGGGCAACCATAGTAATATCTCACAAGTGAGTCTCTTTCTCTGATTGCTGGCTTCTTACCCATACTCCAACCCCAGCAATGACTTTTCCCCCTTTTTGGATGGAGAAGAAATAAAAAGCAACACATCAACCTTGCACTGGAGCAACTTTCTTTTTCAGCCTTAGAAGCAGGTTCCCCCATGCAGGCAGGAGGCACGTGGTTGGGGCAGCAAAGGCAAAGATGGAAGAAAAACTGTTTCACTTTGAGACATTGACACAAACAAAATCGGAAGAAAAAAAAAAGAGAAAAAGAAAAGAGGGTGCCTTGTTGGCTTTTCTTCCCCCCTCTCCTCTTTAAGCGCTACAAAAACAGGAAACAAAGGAGAAAACATCTCACGGGGGGAAGGGGAGGTAAGCGCTTTATACGCCCACGAAAGAAAGATTAACCACATATTTTATTTACTGTTTGTATTACAGTTGCACCATGGAGTTCAACTAATTCCGAGCCAGGGCTCTGCGGGTTTGTGCAGCAGCTAACGCTGAGCGGGGTCCTTCCCCCAAACCCACCAGGCGCATGTTCCACTTCAGGCAAACCCTGCACAGACACCCCCTTTCCTCCAGCAGACACCCACCTCCAGCCTCCTTCACCCAGCCAGAGCACTTCTGCCCCAGCTGCCACCTCAGCTGACAAAGTGCTGGTGCTGTCCCCAAGGAGTTTTGAGCTCCTTTTCCCCTTCAAACCGGTCTGTAACCAGGGGTAAGGTGCCCTTCGAGGCAGGTTGGCAACACAGCCAGAGGAATAAATGCTAAAAAAGCAGAGTTTATGGGGAACATATTTGTAGGCTCCAGTCCCTCCTCCAGACCATGGGGGACATCCCCTCCACAGTGAGTTGATGTTGCAACCCCCACACTTGTGAGTCCCCCACACCAAGGTCAGGGCTCCGATCCTCCCAACTTTGACTCATTTCTCAATTAACGGCTTTCTGAACACAAGCCACACATGGAACAAACCTCTCACAATGGGGCCTCCCCCGGACCTCCCAAGCCCAGCGTTACTCATCTGCCCCCCAGTCCCAGTCCACCTTTTCTCGGGATGCTCCAAGTGCGGCTCACCGCCGCTGCAGGGTGAGCAAGCAGCCAGGAATCCCGGCCCGGTTCCCGCAGGCAGGAAGCCGTCACCAGCTGAGCTCATGCACCCTAAATGGGGAGCCGACGAGGCGAGGCCCCCTTCCTTGCTGGCTGGCAACCGGCAGCTTTCAGCCAGAGACCTAGCCATGGCCGTGGAGCAAGGGCTGGCAACCCGCTGGGTGCTTTTCCCAGGGGTTCATCCGTACTCCAGCCACTTCATGGAAGAACTGATTCAACTACAGGGAGGATCCTTTGGGCACACTGTACCCCAGCTTGGTGCTGTCCTTCATTGACCCAGACTCCGTGCACCCAACTGAGCCACGCGCCCAGCGGGAAGAGACAAGCTTATCATCACAGAGAAAGGAAATTAAGATAACGCGGCGATGGAGGTACCGAGAGATTTGGCCAAGGTCACGAAATAATTCCATGGCTCTACGATACAGCCGTCTAACACTTTTGGTGTCTGGCCACATATCCTAAAATTTCAAGCCAGGGCCAAAATCCAGCCTAGGTATTGGCAGATTTCTGCCAGGTCATTAGCAGTGTGCATCCGCAAGAAGCGGCGAACATCCAGCCATAACAACGGCAGCAACAACAAAAAAAAACATGCAGCAAGAGCGGGAATAAATGAGATCAAAGTGTCCTGGAAAAGGACCTGGAAAAATAGTTTCGGTCCCTGGCTAAGGCTCCTGGGAGATGCACATGAGAACCCCATCCCAGCCCTGCACAGCCCTCCCGAAGTGGCTCCCCACCCTGGCAGAGGGAAACCAAAATGACTCCCTATAAATAGAAGCAGAAAAGCGCTTCTCTAAAAGACTGACTGGGTCTTTCCCCTTCCAGCGTGTGTGGTGGAGCTGCTGGCACCTCCGTGGAGGTCCCTGGTTTTCCCCCAAAAAGCCTGGAGAGGAAAATAACCTTCCTGTGAGCTCAGACTGGCTCCTCTCTATACAGAGCTGCACCCCCTCACCCCACTCCCAGGCCTGGCCATCCAATTGGAAAGTAATTATACTGCAATTTTTATTTATGACTTCTTCGGGTTTTTTTATTGCTAAATGGTGACTCATTTTGGCAACATTAAAATACACAGGAAATCATCCCCATTTTACAGTAATCACCATTCAATTCATTGTTAAATATTTATTCGGCAGACAAACGCCGAGCCTCTTTCGAAGGGTCGGAGGGGGAGCGGAGGGGTAGCCCTGAGAAGGGGGAAGGTGGTAGAAGGGTCACGGCAGGGCTGGCCGCAGGGCTGGTAAATGCTCGTCAGAACTGGAGGGTGGGGAGCCAGGGGTGAAAGCTCCTGCCAGATGGCCTGGCCAAGAGCAAAATACGGACCCGCTTTCCCTCGAATCCAGCACAACAGCCCAAGCTGCTCTAGGGAGAGAGGCAGCCCTGTGCCCCCTAATAAAAAATCACATTATTTGGCCAAATCCCAAGACTGAATCCCCACCAGTGAGACGTCACGGGTCTCTGACACGTCATGGGTCTCTGACATGAAGCTCTTCCATTGCCGGGGGAAGAGGATGGCGGCCACTGGCCCCAGTGGGAGGCAGTGGGAAGAGCAAGCAGTTTGACATTCACAGGCCTTACAATGGACAGGGTCTGCTCCTGCAGCTGCTTTGTCCTCTCAGGAAGCCCAATTTTGGGGTGACTCGACCTCAGATGAGCGTAGCTCTTCTGCCTTTCCCCAAACAGCTGCACAGCCCAGCACAAACCTGGCAGACGGCCCTTCCAAGCGCCCCTGCCCCAAGACCACAACCCTTCCCTGCAGAGTGCACACCCAAAGGGCCGTAGGTCCCACAGCCCAACAGCTCCAAAGGCCTCCCAGCACAGAGCCCTTCCCTTTGGAGCCCCCCTGGCACCCATGGGCTCCATCACTGCTTGGCTGGCTGGCCACCCAACATGTCTGCCACGGGGGGACCCTGGGCGGAAGGAGGAGCAGTGCCAGGATGGATTTTGCGTAGGTCCTACACAAACACAGGGCAACAGACATGGCAGGGAAAAGGGTGGTGGGGTGGTCCCCAGGCTGGGCAAACCCGAGTGCCCAGGATGGTTGGACTCACCCGGATCTCATTGCGGCGGATCTCCACGTCGCAGACCGAGTGTCCCTGGTGGGCCCCGCTGTAGTAGCAGCAGAACTGGCAGACGGCCACCTGCTCGGCCTCGCAGTGGTACAGGCGGTAGGCGTTGTGCTGGGGGCAGCTCCAGGCCCGCACGTCCTCCGCCTCCACCAGGAGATGCCCCCGGGCCGTGGAGGGCTGCTGCAGGTGGGTCTGGACGTGGGACTGGCAGCACGGAGCCTCGCACCTCAAACAGATCTTCTGGGCCGGCAGTGGCGGGCCCCGGCGGCAGAAGACGCAGTGCAGGACTGAGGGGGGCTTCTCCAGGTTGAGGGAGTTGAACTTCTCCACGATGTTGGTGAGCTTCAGGTTCTTCTCCAGGTTGGGCTTCTGGTTGTAGGCCTGGTTGCACTCCGGGCACCGCACCAAGCCCGACTCCTTGGCCCACGCCTCCCCGATGCAGCCCCGGCAGAAGTTGTGCTTGCAGGGCAGCTGGACCGGCTCCACAAAGACATGCAGGCAAATGGGGCAGATGAGCTCCTCTTCGAAGCAGTTCTTCCAATTCTCGGCCATCTCTGCCGGCAGCTCTGTCGACGCTTCCCCCCAGCCGCTTCGGTCGCTCAGTGCGGTCTAGGGGCGGACGCTGGGGTCTGTCCTCCCTGAAAGGGGAAGGCTGAGGGTGAATGGACAGGCTCCCCCCTCCCCGCAGCACACGCCATAAATAATAAACCGCAGCAGATTTTAAATTTGGGATAAAATAAACCACAGAGCAGCACTCGAGGAATATCCGGCAAGAAAACGCAACATCCCCATCGCTTCAATAAAAAACAACACAAATGGTCAAAAAAACCCCAACATGATCCTGTTGGATCTACAGCCCAAAGTCCTAACCACCCCTAAAAGCCATTTGCTCCTTTTTACCCCAGAAGGTGAACTGAAACTTACCAAAGGTTGAAAAAAATCCATACAAAATCCAGCAGCAGAGTCCAAGTTCCATATAAAGCTCCTAAATTTAGCACTCCGGATCAGATTTTTCTTTTCTTAGGTTTGCAACTGACATTCAATATTTTAAAGGGACTTTTGTCCCCCACCAAACCTGGCCAACAGCTGAGGGCAGCGACTCGCTCGGGCTTTTTTTTTCCCTTCCCTGTATTTCTCCTCCCTCTCCCCCTGATGGGAGTTGGGAATCACAGTCTTTTAAAGGAAACAGATCAAAGGGTTAAGATCCAAAACGGGAAAAGGAGGAAGATTAAAAAAATAATAATAATAGCGACGATGACGATGGCGGAAAAACGAATTCTCTCTGCGGCCGCCGAGATTTGCTTCTAAATCGGAGGAACAGCAGGGGGAAAAAAGGAAGAGGGGAAAAAAGACAAGACGGGGAAAAAAAAAAAAAAAAAGGCGAAGAAAAAAAAAGCCCTCTTGCCTGCTTGGAGATTGCGAGGTCTTGAATGGGAGAGCTCGGTCATTCAGAGCAAACGCCAGCCCAGCACAGCCCGCCCAGCTCCTCCAAGGCTCCCAGAGAGGGATGGGAGAGGGGACGGGCTTTGCCACGGGGGGTTCTGAGCCCCGCGGACCCCAAATCAACCTGCGCTCACTTCCCACCAGGGCTGTGGGGAAAAAGGCGCCCGGGGGGGTCCGTCCTAGCCCGTTCTCATGGCCGGCCCGGGGGTCGCAAGCCCCCGGCGGTAACAATGCTCTGGGGCGCACGGACGGCGCCCGAGCCGGCGGCGGAGCGCTGCCTTCCCCGGCGCGGCCCCGCCGGGAAGGGGCGAGGCGGCGGCGGGCGGCCGGGAGGAGCCGGCCCGAGCGAGCGGTTCCGGGAGAGCCGAGTCAGCTCTCAGCCATCTTGAGCTGCCCGGCTGAGAACGGAGACCGGGAGCGCTTTAAAAATTAAATAAAAATATAAATAAATTAAAAACAAAACAAAAAAGGAAAGAAAAATAAAAAAGGGTATTTAAAGAAAGAAATTATAAATAAAGTCACCAGAACAACCCCGCTCCAGGGAGCCACCTCCTCCGCCTGCCCGGCGAGGCTCTGCGGAGGGGTTGCGGGGCCAGCGAGCCCGAGCCGAGCCGAGCCGAGCCGTCCCGTCCCGGCGGGGCCGCTCAGCACAGCCCCCCGCGCCCGCCCCCGCCGCCTCCTCCAGCCATCTTGGGGTCGCCCTGGGCGCCGGAGCCCCACGCCCCGGCTTCCTCCCGCCGCCCCCGGGGAGGCGGCCGCGGCCGGGGGGAGGGGGTAACGCGGAGCGAGCCGGGTGGGGGCGCGGAGCCCCGCAGCGGGAAGGGGAAGGGGGGGCGGCGCCTCGGGCTCAGCCCCGGCGCGGGGGCCGGGGCGGCGGCGGGGGCGGGCGGGGCGGCCATGGGGGCGGCGGCCGCGGGGATCGATCAACCGGGGAAACGGGGTGCGGACGGGCGCGCCCCGCCCCGCTCGGGAGCCGGCCGGGGTGGGGGGGCGGAGCGGAGGCGCCGGTGCCGCTGGGTCTCGCCTGGCGCTGCCGCCGCCGCCGCCGCCTCGGAGCTGCCGCTGTGCTGCGGCGGGAGCGGCCCCGCCCCGCCCGCGGGCCCGCCCCGCGCGTCACCGGCACCGCCCCCGCCCCGCCCCGCCGCCGTAAAGGGGACACGGCCCGCGGCCGGGCCCGGGCCCACCTCCGCGCTGCCTTCGAGGAGGCCGGGCTTGGGGTGTCCCGTCTGGCCACTGCATCGGCCCTAGGGCCGCCCTGCCTGGCCACCAGTGTCCCTACGGCCAGCGCTGCTCAGGGTGCCGCTCCATAAAAAGGCTGATTGCTCTGGAACCAGTGCACATCTGGGTCACAGCTGGTCCTGGGCACCGTCCTCATCGCTGTATACAACTTCCTCGAGAGGGGAACGGGAGAGGCAGCCACTGATCTCTTCTCTCCGGCAACCAGGGACGGGACCCGAGGAAATGGCCTGAAGTTGTGTCAGGGCAGGTTGAGGTTGGATATTAGAAAAAGGTTCTGGTTGGGCACTGGAACAGGTTCCCCAAAGAAGTGGTCATACCACCAAGCCTGCGTCAGTTCTAGAAACATTTGGAAAACACACTCAGGCACACTGAGGATGTTTAATTCTTGAAGATGTCTTGTGTGGGCCAAGAGTTGGATTTGATGAGCCTTGTGGGTCCCTTACAACTCAGAATATTCTGGGATAAATGACCTCAAGAGCCTCCTGTGTTGTATTGGCTGGCTTCTAGATGGGCTGTTACTTTGCACAGGTCCATTTAGGTGTGTTTCCTCCCTGTGCACAGCCGCAGCCGTTTGTCCCCTGGGGTCTTTTCCAAACCAGGAGCCCCAGCACCTTCTGCCAGAGCTTGGGGCACAGAGGTGTCTCTGTTAACAGCTCTCCCACCAAATGTTTCTGCAGCTGTTTCATGGGACACTGTATATCTAACCCCTGCCATATGTGCCAAGCTGCTGGGAATAAAGCACATTGCTGGTGTAAATCCATTTCGCACTGGTGAGAGCGTCCATGGCTCAAAGCAAAGTATTTACATCAAAAAATGCTCAGGTTTGTGGTGGAGTGACAGGAGGGCAAAGGCTCAGTCAGCAGCTTCAGGATCTGGCCCAAACCTGACCCTTGGGTGATGCTCTCTGATGGCAATTTGCCTCTGGGAATGATTTAGCAGGAATTCCCCATATGTGGCCTCAAAATGTCTGAAGACAGCACTCAGTAGTGTCTGCTATAGCACCCTATATCCCAGTGCCTTGGACCACCCAGGGCAGCCTGCTAGAGGGATGAGCATTCCACACCACTCCCAGTATGGGGATTATCCAGGTCTTTCCACACTGTGTTTTACAGGAACCCCCTGTGCCTAGGCAGATCCAGCCTAGAGACACTGATAAGGAGACAGTGATGGCTTCTGCTGCAGGACTGGGGCTCATCCTGTATCACCCTCAGCTGCTTCCCTCCATTCCTGCACTCCTGGGGCTCAAGTGCTGATTCCTGAAAAGGGAGCGGTTTGCCATGTAATGCCTGTTCCAGGCCTCAGAGCCCATGGGCTGTACCTCTCCTCCAGGGTTTTACAAACCAGCCGGCAGCCAGGACTGGTGGGAGCTGGGCAGGGCAGCATGAGATGTGTCAGAACCGCAGTCGACTGGCGGAGGCAAACCTCTCCTCGAAAAGTCAGCGCAAAACTATTCATGACTCTCACTTTATAAACACACACAGTACCAGACGGCCTCCAGTGACAGCCACCATCCCCAGCCCAGCCAGAACAGGGCTCTTCTGCAGGGGCTTCTCAGGCCCCCTGAACTCCCACTGTGGCTGTGCTGGGGAAGCTGGTTGGTATTTACCAGTACTTAAAAGAGGAAGGTGGATGGGATGGGGCTTAGCCAAGCTGAAAGATGCACCCTACTCCTGGCTGGGAATCCCTCTGTCCTGGGACTGGCACTCTGTGCTCATACCCACATCTGGATGATGCCATCTCCCTGCCCATGCCAGAGAAACTCCCTTGGCAAGGGAAGCCCCTCCACCAGGATCTTGGTGTGGGTCCCAGACCACTCCAAGGAGCCACAGAGGTGGTTTGTAGCTGAGTCCTGGTGTACATCCCTCAACCTCCCCCAAGCTTCAGTTTTCCCAGCCACTGCCAGGCCATCATTCCCCTTTGCCAAAGGTCTCCCTTCAGCAGCCCTTAGTCCTGCTCTGGAAAGAGCACTTCCTACTCCCTGTCTCCTCAGCAAAGTATCAGCATGTCTGCTGAGCCCTCAGTGAGCACTGGCTGGACTGCAGGTACGCCCTGCAGAGCTGTGATGCTCAGGCACTCGTGACTAGCTCTGGCACTGAGGTGGCATTGCCTGGTGCAGACGATGTCCCTCGGAGCATGAAGTTGGCTGCTCCACAGAGCCGAGGTATCAAACTCATTTTGGTGTTTACGGCCTGGGACCCTGCTGAGTTAATGGTAGAGGGAGGCTTGGGTGTTGGTAGAGATTTACAGAGCAGTTGGCTGTTAATGTGACACCATACCTGTCTGCCACCACCC